TTTAAGTTTAATTGTGCCAGTAATATGGGTCTATGAATTTGGGAAGTAGGCCTAATATAAAGTAAAATTGCCTTCAGCACTCCTGTCTCTTTTCTGATATAATCACTTTTTTTTTTTTTTGAAACAGAATCTCAAGCTGTGGCCCTGGGTAGAGAGCTGTGGCATCACAGCTCACAGCAACCTCAAACTCTTGGGCTCAAGTGATTCTCTTGCCTCAGCCTCCCAAGTAGCTGGGGCTATAGGCACCCACCACGACACTCCACTATTTTTGTTGTTGTTGTTGCAGTTGTCATTGTTGTTGTAGTTGGCCCAGGCTGGGTTTGAACACCCAGTCTTGGTGTATATGGTCGGTGCCTTACCCACTGAGCTATGGGCACTGCTTCTATATAATCACTTTTTGATAGTTTGAGGTATATTCTTCTAGCTCATATTCTATGCATTTATAGACACGCATATAGGAAGCTGTAGGTTCTGTTTTTAAGGTTGTTTTTATAAAAGTTGGGACCGCAATCAATATATTGTTCTCTGATTTGCTCTCCCCCCCTTAGTATAACTTGGAGAGCGTCTTTTGTAAGCAACATAAGCCTATTGCTTTCTTTTTGAATGGTTGCATCGTTATTGAACAGCTGTATTGTGATATAATTCCTGTAACATAAAGTCATCCACTTAACCTGTACAATTCAGTTTTTTTGGTATATTCACAGAGATATGCAAACACCACTATGATCAGTTTTAGAACATTTCAATACCTCAAAAAGAAACACAGTAACTTTTAGGCATCACTTTCTAATCTCCCTTGCCCCTTTGCCTAAGCAACCACTCATCTACTTTCTGTCTTTATGGATCTGCCCATTCCGGATGTTTCATAGAAGTGAAATCCTACAATGATATGGTCTTTCACATCTGCCTTCTTTCACTGGGTGTAGTGTTTTTAGGGCTCTGCAGCATTGCTGCACACAGCAGTACTTCATGCCACTGTTGTATGGATACAGACCACATTTTGTGTATCCATTCATCCATTTATGGACGTTTGTTTGTGTTCATCCACCTTTTGGCAGGTGGGAATAATGCTGCTGTGAGTATTCTTGTGCAAGTATTTGTTGAGTACCTGTTTTTAGTTCTTTAGGGCGTATACCTAGGAGCAGAATTGCTCAGTCACATGACACCTCTATGTTTAACTTTCTGAGAAACTGCCAAGTAATTTCCACAGCAGCTGCACTGGTTTACATTCCTCTGAGCGATATATGAGGGTTCTAATTTCTCCATATCCTTGCCACCACTTGGTGTTTTCTGTTCTTTGAGCATAGCCATCTTAGTGGCATGATTGGCATCTCATTGTGGTTTGGATTCACATTTGCTTATGATATCGAGTGTCTTTTTGTGTGCCTATTATCAATTTGTGTATCTTCTTTGGGGAAATATGTATTTAGATCATTTGCCCATTTTTAAATTGAGTTGTCTTTTTGTTATTTGAGTTGTAAGAGTTCTTTATATATTCTAGCTACAAGTCCCTTATCAGATACATGATTTGCAAACATTCTCTCCTAGTCTATGCATTGTCTGTTCACTTTCTTCCTTTCTTTTTTTTTGGGGGGGCGGGGACAGAGTCTAACTTTGTTACCCACAGTAGAGTGCTATGGCCTCACAGATCACAGCAACCTCCAGCTCTTGGGCTTAAGCAATTCTCTTGCCTCAGCCTCCCAAGTAGCTGGGACTATAGACGCCTAATGCAACGCCCAGCTATTTTTGGTTGCAGTTGTCATTGTTGATTAGCTGGCCAGAACTGGGTTCGAACCCACCAGCCTTGGTGTATGTGGCTGGCGCCATAACCACTGTGCTATGGGTTCCGTAACTTTTTTTTTTTTTTTTTTTTTGAGACAGAATCTCACTATGCCACTTTCGGTAGAGTGCTGTGGTGTCACAGCTCACAATAACCTCAAACTCTTGGGCTTAAGCAGTTCTCTGCCTCAGCCTCCTAAGTAGCTGGGACTAGGAGGTGCCTGCCACAGTGCCCAGCTATTTTTTTTTTTTTTTTTATTGTTGGAGTTGTCATTGTCGTTCCAGCTGGCCTGGGCCAGGTTCAAACCTGCCACCCTAGATGTACCTTGCTGGCACCCTACCCACTGAGCCATGGGCACTGCCAAGTTTTTTCCTTTTTGTACATAAATAATGCTACAATGAACATTTTAGTGTAGCCATCTTTGTGTATATGTGCTAATATGAGTTATTTATTAGGAGTGGAATTGCTGGGTCAGAGGTCCGTGTACTTAAAATGTTCATTGTTTTTGCTCCATTGTCTGCTTTCTGCTCATCTGTCTATCCTTGTTGATTTGTGTAAGCTCTTCATGTCTGGTAATCTTGGCCTCTTAGAGACTGGAGTTGGTTGGAACATGCAGTGTGAGCAATGTGAGTGGTGCATTTGCACCCAGAGCAAGTGGGAAGGGTAGGCTTGGGATCTGGGTGTTTGGTGGCTGCTCTTGGTCTAGGGTGTTGATGTGGATGCCACAAGCCCACTTCATGCAGTCACATGTGGGGTTTCCAGACCCTAGATTACTCAATGCTGATAGGTAAGAGGGTTTTTGTTTTTCATAGACAGAATCTTATTCTGTAGAATGCAATGGCATCATCATAGCTCACTGGAACCTCCAACTCCTGGGTTCAAATGATCCTCCTGCCTTACCTTCCCTAGTAGTTGGGACTACAGGTGATTGCCACCATGCCTAGCTGATTTTTTTCTATTTTTAGTAGAGAAGGGGTCTCATGCTTGCTCAAGCTGGTCCTGAGCTCAAGCGATCCTCCTACTTTGGCTTCTCAGAGTGCTAGGATTACAGGCATGAGCCACCGGGCTTGGCCGGAAAGAGGCTTTTTGCAGGGTTGTGTCTCCATAGGTGACTCCACAGAGGTCCTTCTTGTGGAGGTTCTGAGAATTTTGAGAGCAGTGGGAGCTCCAGGCAGTTCTGGCCCATTGGTGCCTGCAGAGGAAGGAAGAGTGTCTGGAGGTTGTACCTCTGCATGAAGAAGTGACCAGGGCTGACATCTCTTCCTCATCCCTGCTTTCTGTTCCCTCCTGTTCGTCTGGGGACTGCCTGTTCTGGGCTCTCATTAACTCATGGCTGGCCAGTGCCCAGACGTGAGCAGTGTTGTTCCTATAAAGGAGTGACATGGGAAGTGGGGGACTTCTGAGGGACCTCTGTGTTTTTTAGGGTATAGCTTCCAATCCTGTAGCCCTTCCATCCTACTTCCTTTTTCTCCTGTATATCTTTACTGGAGTTTACAAAAGTGGCACCAAAGTAGTTCAAAGGTTTAGATCACTGTTTTACAAACCTTTTTTATCTCACGGCATATTTGAACCTATAAACTTCCCTGGCATATTTAAATTATGTTGCTTAAAAAAAAAAAACAAGAGTAAAAATAAATGCATACTATCCTTTGAACCTCTTTCAAAAGTAATTTAATTAATGAGCTTTACAGATTCTTACGGCACACCTAAGATCCTCTTATGGCACATCGGTGTGCCACAGCACACTGGTTAAAAATCACTGGTTTGGACAAATGTGGTTTGAGATTTTTAAAACAATCCATTCAGGCCCCTACAGGCTGCAGGTCAGTGGTTTTCAGGCTTTGCTTTCTGAGTGTTAGGGTCCCGTAGCAGGGCTCTGGGGGAAGGGGACAGGGGCAGGCAGAGGTGGTGCATCAGGGGCTCTAGCCTCATGTGGCTGCACCGGCCGCAGCAGCCCTGCTCTCCCTGGTATTCGACAGCTGGTTCTACCTTAGGTTCTATGTGAGGAGACCGAGGGCTCTATTGCCGTAGAAGTTGGAAACTACTTGCTCTGGATGGCTTGGCCCCTTTGTTGGGTTGAAAACATCCTAAACACAACTCCTGCTGGAGGCAGAATCCTGAGGCAGAATCATGGGGCTCATCGGCATTTGGGGGAACTCTGTTTTCTCAGGGGCCCCACAGACCCCTCTTCCTTGAGGGAGCCTAAGTGGTTGTTCTCCCCAGGGCCATTTGCCAGCCCAGGCGTGTTTTATTTTCTCTTTTGTTGTGTGGGGTGTTCTGGCCCTCCAGCCCTGCAAAGGCAAAATCAAATTATCTTCTGTCTTGATCCAAATGAATTTGGTCCCCAGGGAAGCCCAAGGCTCAGCTTCCAGATAGTGGGTGAGGAAGAGTCTTTCTGGGCCAGCCCCAGGACTAATATTCCATCTTTCTCTCCCTACCCTCTTTGTGTCTTCCAGTCAGCAGAGTTCTTCGAGATGCTGGAGAAAATGCAGGTGAGTGTTAATCCCCAAAGTGGGGAGGAAGCTGAACCCGGGATCCGGGTGCTGTGGGGGCCTCCCTAGTGGGCAGCACTTGTGGGCAGAACCCTGGTACCTTGGAGGGAGGGTCAGAGGAGAGACAAGCACAGTCCCCTTGGCCTGGACACCAGAGGCAATTTTGCTATTGAAAGACACTTTGGGAAGACCCCTACCTGCCAGATGGGGAGGCTAAAAAGCAGAACTTCCTCAGCAAAGCAGCCAGGGACACCATAAACCCCATGGATATGGCAAGAGTTTGACAGGATGTGTTGTTCTTGGATTGAGTTGGCAAGGAAGCCTGAAAAAACTAGCTCTTCCTTAGAGGAGTCATCTCATGTCGGGGATGCAGATTGGCAGGGTGGGAGGCAGACCTGAGTTCAAATCCTGCCCCAAACATGAGCCCAAGTTCCTTACCTTTTCTAAGCATTTGTAAATAAATCAGAATGAAAAGACCGATTTACCTGGTGGTTGGGATGAACTGAGATAATATATGTAAATTACTTGGTACGCCCTATGTGAAAGTCAGTTTGCAGTGTGGGAGTTCAGGGCTCACGATGAGAGCTGCTGCCCTAAGGAATGTGTGTAGAGGTCATAACTGATAAGTGTGGAAAGACTGCAAAGAAGAGGCTGATAAGAGCATGCCTATTTCAAGCACTTCTCAGGGCTCAGAAAGTGGCAAGCACTATTTCTTCCTGATGAGGCCTTCCAAAGTAGGTTGCTATTATTATCACCCCTATATCACAGATGAGAAAACTGAAACGCAGAACTATTAAGTAAAGCACTCAAAGGTGTATGGCTCATGTAGCTTCAGAGGCAGAGGGTTCGACTGTCGTATTATGACACTTTTTACCCTAAGTAGATGCTCCAGGCTTAAGGGAAGAAGTTTCTACAATAACCCTCTGGAAGTTCTGGGAAGACGGGCAAATGTGGTGCCCATGGCAGTTTTGAGATACAGGTGCAATGCCCAGGTCTTTTGATGGTGGAGAGGGGAGAGGCTGTTGGAAGGAAGTATATTATTAGTAGTAGTGTCATTACCACAAGCAAATTAAGATCCGGCCCCATGCCCAGCAGAGTGTGGACTATAAACTCATACGCTTTTAGGGAATTTGTAATCAAGTTGCAGAAATGAGGATGGTGTATGTGGTGACAGCAAGTAGCAGGGGTTGGTGTATAACTAAGTGCTCAATGGCTTGGAGTAAAGCTGGGATTTTCATCTCAAGCCAGTGGGATCTGGGGGCTCTGAGAAACTGGGGAAGTTCTGCTTTTTCTGCCTTCTCTCTCCCCTAAATCACCCCTCCTGTACCCCTAGGTGGAGCTGCCCATGTCCTCCACAGAGGGCTTTTCAGAGCACATAATTCAGCCCCACTTAACTTGCTTCATGTTGTTCTATTGTTTAGAGGCTGCTGGGCTTGTCTTCTTCTCAGCTAGCCTGGGATCCCCTCAAGGGAAGGTGTCTGTGTCTCCACTGTGGTTGGCATCCATGGGTGTTGGGGCCATTGAAGCCACACTTCCTAGTGTTAAGTGTCTGCCACATAGAGATGTAGGAAGCTCTCAAGTAGGAAACCCGTGGTGGTGGAGTGTGCTGCACTGTCCCGAGTGTGGGCTTCATTTCTCCTCCTCTTGCAGCTGTGGAAACTGAGCCTCAGAGCATCTGAGTGCCCAGGTCCCTCTGCTAGTTGTGCGGAGCTGAAACTAGGATCCAGGACTCCTGATTCCTCATCCAAGGGTCCAGGATTTGAAGGAGGGTGTAATTTGAAGCAAGAGGGCCTAAGTACCCAAGCTTTGGATCCCTTCAGATACTTTCTAGTGGAATATCTTTCGCACAATGATTTTCCCTCTCTGAACCTCAGCTCCGTCACTGGAGGGAGAAGGCAATGTAAAGGTCACACCTAGTATGAGGGTAACACAGAGGAGGAAAGGGCCCAGTGCTGGCAGTGGCAGAGGGGATGGGAGGAGGCTTACTCTCCCGCCTTTCTGGCTGTTCCCAGACAGGAGTGACTAATGCAGGACAAACAAAACAAACTCCTGACATCACTCCCCCACCCCTATCTGCCCTGTGTGCCAACCTGGACAGGGTCTGCAGGGCCACCCAGGTGATTTTTTTCTGTGTACGTGAGAGGAGCACTTGTCTGGTGGGAGGAGCCCTCCCACACCCTCCTGAACAATACTACAAGGTGACTCAGTCCAGAGAGGTTGGGAGAGGGTGTGTCCATATCCACCCCGCTATCAGCCCTGGCATCCAAGGAGTGCAGGGTATGGTAGGTGGGTGACCAGCTTCAGAGCCAGGCCCTGCCACTCACCAGCCTCCTCCGTTTCCTCACTGGTGAAGAGGTGCTATGAGTTTCAGAGGAGACCGACCCCAGAGGGAGCTCACTCTGGGAGTTAAAATCCTGATGCATTGGTGACTAGGCAGGGGCTGCTTCCCAACTCTCTCTGCTCCTGAGGGGAGCTCTTTATCTTAGTCTGTCCACCATCTCATTCCCTCACTTGATTTATTCAGTCTTGGGAACATGTGGTGTTCACACAGTCCTGTTAAGTCAGAACTCAAGGGTCCACTGGACAAGGCACTGGTCCTCAGAAGTTACCTGTAGGCAACCCCCTTCAATCCAGCCCTAGGCTTCATATCTGATCCTTGCAGGGATCATTGCACCTGTGAGATGGGCAGGTGTTAGAATCCTCCTTTTATAGATGATGCTACGTAGGCTCCAAGAGGCTCAGCTTTGTTGAGGGTCTCAAAGAGTAAGCTCAGACTGGAATGTGGACCAGGACCAAGCCTCCTGCCTGTCACTGCAGGCCCTGCCACCAGGGAGGGGGTGGAGCTGGTTGGCGCAAAGCCCAGAGTACTGGCTCTGACACCAGCAGACAGGGTTCCTGTCTTTCCCTTTTAGCTACTGGCTCTGTGACCCTAGGGAAGATATTTAAGCTCTAGGATGGTACTACATGTTATTGCTGATCTCCTGATCATAACAACCCACTGCATTACTATATACCAATCAGTTATTAACATTCAACTTTCACTACAGTAGGCACCATCATCATTCTCATTCTACAGATGAGAACACTGAAGTCACAGAAAGGGTTTTGTGACTTGCCTAAAGTCATAAGGCTGGTAAGTGGCAGTGCTGGGATTTGAACCCTGGTGGTCTGGTTCTTAGCCCACCTGCCCTGCTGCCTTGTCTGAGGCTGCTGTGACCTGCCAGTGACCCGGTGTGCTGTGTGAGGGCCTAGTACAGGCCAGCTGTTGCCACTGCTGTTGTTCATGAACCCTCGACAAGGCCAGGTGCTCAAGAGATTCCTCCCTGTTCAGCCCTGTTTTTGTGACCTTTGATTTTTCATGGGTCCTCTTGTCCTTGTTTCACAGGGGATCAAGCTTGAAGAGCAGAAGCCAGGACCCCAGAAGAACAAGGTGGGTTGGGGGGCTGAGTGGCAACCAGGTGGGTCTGGTGAGGGGCCACCATGTCAGCAAGGCAGGAGGAGCAGGCAGGGTGCTGGAGTCATCTGTTTCTCACCCATCTAACTCTGACCTCCACCAAGGGCTACTTAGGTGACTACACCTTGTTAGGCTAGTGCATGGTGGGCAGAGGGGGCCCGCGCTTCTGAGCAGGCTGGGACCTCAGGCTTGGTGGCTTGGTCTGGCTTCGTCTCACCCATCCTGCTTGTTTTTTCACTCAGTGTTTAGTGGTGTCAGGGTCGTGCCCCAGGCTCCAGTGGGCAGTTAGCTTTGGGTTCCATTTCTGAGGCCCAGGGGTGTGGCCCATCACTTGGAAGTCAGCCCCCTGGCCAGGAGAGGGGTGCTGAGTGAGACTAGGCGTCATGCTCCTGCTAGCTGTTCTTCCATCTGATGTTCGTCCCCTCAAAGCCCTGGTGCAGCCTGCCATGAGGGCCCCTGGGGCTCCCCATCCAGCAGACCTGGAGGAGGGGAATGATGTCTTTCTGGGCACCGCTGGGACTAACAGCACTGTCATCTGGTTTGTCTTGCAGGATGACTACATCCCGTACCCCAGCATCGAAGAGGTAGGAGCCTCTCTGGCCATTCTGCAGTCTGCTCTGGGTCCCATCCTGGGAGATGGTGGTGGTGGTGATGGACCCTGCCTGCCACACATGGGGAAGAACCTTGGGCCTGGGGCCTCTTCCTGTCTTTGCCTTTGTGACCTTAACTTCTTTATGTTTAAGATTAGGGGTGCCCATCTGGGGCTTGCAACCCTGGGGCTAGCAACCCTGGGGCTACAGCCGCAGTGGATGCAGCTGGAGATACTGCAGGGCTTAGGGGAGGGGGTCTGCATTACCACGTTTGGCCTCAAATAGCAGGCTCCCCACTTGGGGGCAGTTTGGAGATGGGCAAGAGGGGACACTACCACTGGCATGCCTTGCTCCCCTCCCCTGCACTCCTAGGGTCAGCTGCAGTGCACGCTATGCCCCTCTGCCTCCAGGTTGTGGAGAAGGGAGGCCCGTACCCTCTGGTCATCCTGCCCCAGTTTGGGGGCTATTGGATTGAGGATCCAGAGAATGTGGGTACACCAACGTCACTGGGCAGCAGCATCTGTGAAGAGGAAGAAGAGGACAACCTTAGCCCCAACACGTTCGGCTACAAGCTCGAGTGCAAGGGCGAAGCCAGGGCCTACCGCAGGCACTTCCTTGGCAAGGTGAGTTCTGGGCTCTGGGAGAGAAGGCCTGCTGGAGGGGCCACCGCCTCCTTTCTAGTACCCCCAACTCCCTGCCTCTTCTTGATCCCAGTTCTGTCCCTTCATTGCTCCTGGCCCTGTCTTAGTGGGAGAGGCCTGACTGGCTCTGTTCTGGGGGTAGGGGAGCTGCAGAGGGCAGGGAGACTCAATGTGACGGGTCATTTGGGGATCGCCCCAGCAGATGTTTTAGGAGGTGATAGAGTGTTTGGGGTGAAGGAGGGTGGGGTAGATAGAGTTCAAGGAAAAATATGTTCTCACACCATAGGAATCTCGATTTCCATCTAAATAGTATAAATCTCTTGTGTCCTCATTCAGGCTGTCCCCTGAGTACTTATACTGAATGATGTGCTGTGAGCCTGGGATTGCTTAAAAGTGACAAGAGTTACATTTCTTTAAATATAATCTGCTCTTCAGAGTTACCAGGTTCCTCATGTCCCAAGGGCACATTCCAGAAATCTCTAGCCTAAGGCTGCTGTACTCTCATGCTACCCCAGGGATCTTGTTAACATACAGATTCTAGGGCCCCCCCACCTCAGATTTGGGGTGGGCTGTGTTTTTAGCCCATGTTTCCTGATCTGGGGAGAGGTCCAGAGCACCCCTTTGCTTCCCTTCCGGTGGAGCTGCCGGGGGTGGGGGTGGGGGTGGGGGTGATTTTCTTCTGCTTAAATTAAGGTGATCAGACGTCCCAATTTTTAACAATTTGTCCCGCATCCTGCGATAGTTTTAAAAAGTCCTAATTTTTGGAAAGAATGCAGGACAAGCTAGTGAAGGGCGGGAGAATGGGAAGGGAATATACTTTTGGCTGCTGAAAAGGTTAATGTAACTCCATTTGGGAATGAAGAGGTTAATGTAACTTCATTTGGAAATGAAAAGGCTAATGTAAACTCCCTACTCCCCTCCTGGGCAAAGTTGCTCAGGTGGACCGGTGCCCTACTCCTTTGAGCCACAGGCGACGTCCTATACATAATTTTTTTTTAATGTATTATATTTGCAAATTGTACTTATGTTGAAATTAAAAGAATATATATTACAATACTATTTTTGCATTCTATGAAAATTTTTGTTGCTCCATATAGACCAAATTTTTAATTAAGAACCCGTCCCCTCCCCCCCCATCAATGGTGTCCCGCTTTACCAATGTTAAAATCTGGTCACCTTAGCTTAAATAGTCTGACTTGGTGAGGACTGAGGACTGCCCCCAGGAGTGAGAACATAAGCTCAGTATCTTGTGGTGAAGAACTTGAGCTTCAGAGTCAAGACAGACATGGGTTTGAACCCAGGACCTGTCACTTACCAGTTGTGGAGCCTGGGCAGTTTCTTAACGGCCCTTTGCATTGGTTTTTCCATCTGTGAAATGGGGATGATGATACCACTTCCTGCATGGTGTTGTGGTCAGGATTAAAGGAGATAGTGAGTACTAAGCCATCAGCACATGGCTGGTACATCCCGAGGCTTGGACAGTTGGTCCCTTTCCTGTGGTCACTGTCAACAGGAGGAGCAGCTGCAGCAGTGGCATCCTTCCCTCCTCATTGCTGTGGGCTGCTCACGCCTGGTGGAGGAGGTCGTTTTGGGGGATGTGTCTGGATGGTTTCCTCCTGCTTACGCTCCCATTTCTATTTCTAGGATCATCTAAACTTTTACTGTACTGGCAGCAGCCTGGGGAACTTGATCCTGTCCATCAAGTGCGAGGAAGCTGATGGGATCGAGTACCTTCGGATCATTCTCAGGTGGGACTGTGGTATGGTTCAAGGCCACGCCTGGAGGCGGGGCTGCCAGAAAGTGGTGAGGGACCCAGAAATACCAGTCTGACCAGTCTGGTCTGGGTAGGCTGTGGGGGAGACAGGCTTACTGGAATCCTGGGGCTGTGTGAAGTTGCCAGGCAGGGAGACCCAGTGGCCATAGTCAGATTGGATCCTGGTCTCAAGGTCACCTAGATCACACTTCTCCCCTCTTCTCTTTCTTGAAAGGCTATGGCTCTGAGGAAGATGGGGAGATAAAGCAGGATAGCTCAGTGTGGCTCATCCTGCTGAGACATAGCTCCAAGTCCTGGAAAAGGGTTAGCCGTGGTGTAGCAGAGAAGGTGGATCCCCAAGTGGATCCCCAAGTGTCTGTGGTGGGTGCTGGGCTCCCTGAGATGAAGCAGTGTTTACAGCAGGTGTGCTGATTTATAGGTGAAGGCAGGCACTTCCTTCTGGATTGTGACCTTTTCAAGGGCAGGAACTGGTTTGTGTTTGGTTCAACTAACGCATTTTATAAAACCTCCTCTGTACCAGGAACTGAGGGAGGTGCTGGGGATACAGTGATAACCGAGACTTGGTCCTTGTTTTGTAAAGGCTTATGGCCTAGCATGAGAGAGTAACAGGGAATTTTAATATGCTGCAGGTGTTATTGTAGTACTATGCCCAGGATGCTCTGGGGCACAGAGGAGTCTGTGTCTTAGTTGTTTTTGTCCCCAGTGGGGTGGTGGACAAGCCAGGAAGGCCATGAGTCCACCGAGGACTCTGCACCTGTCAAACTCTCAATCTGTATTTGTTAGTCAATCTGAAAGTTCTCTCATTTTTTTTATTCTGCAGTTTTGGGCTAGGGCCGAGTTTGAATCTGCCACTTCCGGTATATGGGGCCGGTGCCCTACTCCTTGAGCCACAGGCGCCGATCCCTAACTGAAAGCTCATTGGAAAAGAGCTTTTTAATTTTTTCTGCCCAAATTTGTAGATAAATATGGGTGGACACAAGGACACACAGCCCTGCTTTGGGAGAGGCAGGGAGGGGAGATGGTTTGAGGAAGTTGTCAGCATCCATCCAATCTTCTTATTAAGGAAGGAAGCAATTTTCTTTACAGAGGTTCACTTGACTAGAAATCCTATTTGCAGGGCATAGGAGAGACAATTAAATAGCTAGAGCCAATTTTCTGAAGGGTAATACCTGGACCCCCATCTCCAAGTGGAATTTCTAGCTATTAAAATTGCTTCCTTTTTAAATAAAAATCAGACCAAGATTGGTTAGGATTTCTGAGTAAGATGACAACTGACTAGGATCTAACCCCACCCCTCTTTTTCTAATTATAATATCCTGTCTGAAATGCTGCATCAGGACTGGCAGCTAGAAAACGTGGGCATCGGGCACATATAACACATGCTTGGGTGGCTTTTTATTTTTGTTTTGTAGCTTTTGGGGCAGTTAGAACTAAAAGTAGTTGATATTGAGAGTTGAACCCCAGTTCCCCTTCCTTAGAAAGCAATGTATTATAGTATGGGAATATATGAAATTGGAGATTCTAGAATCCTGTACTCTTTAGAATAAGAGCAAGCCCTGAAATGGTCAGGGATTTTCCCACATAGAACCACTTTTGTTGTTGTGGGTCAGCAGCAGCTGTCCAAATCAATGCCCCTGGGGAGCCCAAGGTCAAGCTCAGATGTAGCTCTCCCAAATAGGGAGCCTACGGGCAGGGTGACAGAGAGGAGACATACACCAGCTAGGAAGTTGGACAATCACATCATGTACATGCCAGGCCAAATTGGAAACCAGACATCAAAAATTGGCTCCATGGTTTAGCAGCTTTACCAGACACAGAGAAGAAATTATCCAGAGATGAAATTCCCCTGCTGGCAGTGACTCCTGTCCCAGCTTCTTCCTCATTCTCCATAGGCTTCTGGATTATTTAGTCACTGTCCCACATTTGAAACAATCAGCTTTCCACTCTATTATCTGAGTATTCTCATAGCCTCTGTGTATGCCAAGCGAGTAACCAAGAAGAATCTACCCACAGTTTGGAGACAGCAAGCTTGTGTAGGTTTCTCCTTTTTCTAGTATGGATGGATATAAAGAAGAAGAAGAAAAGTTTCATAGGCTGTGAAGGAAAAGATTCTGCATCTAAAACAGTATAAACTAGCTAGAGAAATAACAAGAGTTTAGAAAAGTGTTTACTTTTACAGAAAGCCAGGTGAAAGTTAGATATTTATTAACTTTGTATTTTCTACAACCTTCGAGAAAAAAACAATAAACACTGTGAAAGAAAAGACAAAAGATAGAATAGAATCAGCTAATAGAATGGGATAAAAAAAGTTGCTTGTTGAGTCAGGGAGATAACAGTAGAAAACGAAGGCTGGCCGGAAAGAATTTTAAATGGCACAGGAAATGGTAGAAAGCAGAATCTTCTTTGTAGAAAATCCAAAGGAAAAATACAGCAACTTCAAAATGATGAGCGAGATTATGATGACTACGGAGGTAGTGAACAGGAATTAAATATGGATAATTGATGTTCTTTAACTGATTGAAGATTTAAATCTGCAAATCAAATGACTCACCCTGTAAGGGACAAAATCAATGAAAAGGAATTAATAGCTGAACATATTTTGGTGAAATTGATAGTTCATAGATATAAAATCATTGGTAAAATAAAAACACTCCAAATAATAAAGGAAGACAAATAATATGTATACACATACACACACAGAAAAATCAAATAAAGAAATCATAAATAAATGTGATAGAAGTGTGAGTACATGAGTGATAAGAATAAATATAAATGAGGTGAATTTCATGATGAAACAGCAAAGATTCTCAACTTGGGTTATTTCTCCAAAAACCCCCTAAAAATTGAGCTATCTATGTTTTGTTAAAGAAAGTAACTCAGAATTTTTTAAAACAAAAGAATTGAGAAAAAGCTGTAACAGTCAAATAAAAAACGAAAGCAGGGTTGGCAGTATTAACATAGAAAAGTATAATTCAAGGCAAAAAAGCAATCTATGTGATAGAGAGTGCTGTTGTCCAGTCATAAAAGGTAAAATCCACAATGAAGATTTCTTATAAACCTTTATGTTGTGAATATTGTATATTATAACGTAGTATATGTATGTGCACACATTCATAATGATTAAAATATGGAGAAATTCACAATACAGTTGTAGTGGTAGATTTTAACACATATCACTTGATGAATCAATACTAGGGTAAAGAAATGAAAATACAGATAATCTCATTAATATTATTTATGTCAGTTACATATATATATATATATATCTGTTGCCATTTCTGACTTTCAAACTTTGACCCCCTAACAGATTTTTGCTTCTTTCTGAGTGCCTATAGAATATTTACACAAATTGATTGCATAGTAGATTGGTGGTTTTCTTGTGGACCTGCTATATCAGAACCATTTTGGACCTTTAAAGCAAAGCAATGCAAATTGAAAAAAAAAAATCCAAACAAAGCCAAAAACCTAGACTTCCAAACTCCAATCCAACTATTTAAAATACACACACACACAAATACATATAAGATATGTAAAGATGTATAAGTAATATATAGTCTCTATATTCTTATTTTTTCCTTATTTTCTCTTCATTTCTATTGCATTCTATAGAATATACTATTCGTAACTTGCTTCTGTAATATGTCTTAGAGGTCTTTCCATATTGGTATATAGAGTTTCTTAATTTCTTTTATTGCTGCATAATAAATATTCCATTGCATGGATGCAAAATAACTATGTAACAGATCCCCTGTTAATGGTCATAATGAAAGGATATGGATATCACAAATAGTGCTTCAATGAATAACATTGCACAGATATCAATTTGTGTGAATTAGGATAGTTTCTCAGAAGTGAGATAGCTTGGTTAAAGCATAAATGCATTTCTATTTTGATAGATAATGTCTAATTGCTTTTCGTAGGCACTATCTCAATTTGAAGTTTTCTTAGCAATGCAGGAGATTGCCTATTTTCACAAAACTTCTTCAGTAGAATGTAGCATCAAACACTTGAATTTTTGTCAGTCTGATAGGTGGAAATGGTATTTTAATGCAGTTTAAATTTATAATAATCTTAATATCAATCATGCTAGGCATCTCTTTATATGCTTAAGAACCACTTGTATTTATGTGCTGTGATCTGTCTGTTCATAAGCTTTGTTCCTTTTTTAACTGGACTGTTAATTTGAAATTTTGATTTTTAAAAATCTTGTAAGTAATTATTGATTGCTTGCTTATTTAGGAGCTTTTGAACTATCAAGTAAATCTAAATACATTTCAAAAAGCAAACACTCTGCTGGATATATTCACCTATAATTTATCAATAAAACTAGAAATTAATAACAAAATATTATAAAAAAACCCACTTAACCATTTAGAAATAAGCAATGTCTCGAATAACTTTTGACCCAAAGAACAAATCTAAGCTGCAATTATAGACTATAAAGTAATGATATTTATAAAACTTACATGTTATATTCAAAGTTTTATTTACAGGAAAATTCATTGCCTTAAATGGTTTCTTATTTTTTTTTTTGAGACAGAGTCTCATTCTGTCACCCTCAGTAGAGTGCTGTGGCATCACAGTTCACAGCAACCTCCAACTCTTGGGCTTAGGCGATTCTCTTGTCTCAGCCTCCCCAAGTAGCTGGGACTACAGGTGCCCGCCATAATGCCCGGCTATTTTTGGTTGCAGTTGCCACTGCTGTTTTAGCTGGTTGGGGCCAGGTTTGAACCCACCACCATTGATATATGGGGCTGGCACCCTACCCACTGAGCTATAGGCGCCACCCTAAATGGTTTCTTATTAAATAAGAATGATAATTGCAAGTTTTTGCTGCTCATAGTAACCTCTTTATGCCTCAATTTCCTCATGAAATAGTAATACTAGTATCTACCTTAAAATTATTAACTGCTCAGATGCCCTGGTGAGTCAAAGCCTTATATTATAGCTACTTAATAATGGCAGCTGTTATTA